AGTTGTGAGGTTGTTAGTGAGAGAGTTATAATTGTGAGGTTGTTAGTTGAGAGTGTTAGTGAGAGAGCTAATTGTGAGGTTGTTAGTGAGAGAGTTATAGTTGTGAGGTTGTTAGTGAGAGAGTTATAATTGTAAAGTTGTTAGTGAGAGAGTTATAATTGTGAGGTTGTTAGTGAGAGAGTTATAATTGTGAGGTTGTTAGTGAGAGAGTTATAGTTGTGAGGTTGTTAGTGAGAGAGTTACAATTGTGAGGTTTTTAGTGAGAGAGTTACAACTGTAAAACTAGCAGTGAGAGAATTACAGCTGCAAAGCTGTTAGTGAGAGAGTTATAACTGTGAGGTTGTTAGTGAGAGAGTTACAACTGTAAAACTAGTAGTGAGAGAATTACAGCTGCAAAGCTGTTAGTGGGAGAGTTATAATTGTAAAGATGTTAGTGAGAGAGTTACAACTGTAACTCACAACAATCATCACATTGCACACATTATGGTTGTTCACTGGAAAGAGTTTCACAGAGACAGCTGCGCAGTTTTGTCTGGGAGACAGTGTGTAGACGATGTCGAACGAAGGCAAGCCATTTTTCTGCTCCATGTGTAGACGGTGAAGGAAGGCAAACCATTTTCCTGCTCCATGTGTAGACGGTGAAGGAAGGCAAGCCATTTTCCTGCTCCATGTGTAGACGGTGAAGGAAGGCATCTCACAACAACCCGAAAATATAGCCAGCCCGCAAGAACCGTCACCAAACCGCGTAGCCGAACGAGATGGGCTGAATTTCGTGATAAGTACCAGATCGTCTTGTCTTCACTGTGGCTGTCTTCAAGTATAGATGCAGGCTTGAAACTTTAGGGCTCACTTAAAACCTGTAGCACCATATTTCCAGCAAGTTAAAAAAAAAAAATCGCCATTGCTAGCTGACTTACCTTCATCTTTTCCTGGTCCATCTTCTCCTTGTGTCTGTTGTGCAGTATACTATCTCTACAATTGCCTGCAGCCTGGACCTCTGTAGTACAGTTTCTATGTCGTCCTCGGTGACTTTCGCAACGCCTGTGTGCGCTCGTTGATCTGGTTAGATAAGTATTGATTGATCAATACATAAATGAACACACACACACACACACACACACACACACACACATACACACACTCACATCGATACATAGATGATTAAAACAAGAAGAACAGCCACTTAGTGGTGAGAGAAAAACCACGTGATGGTGACACAATAATCACTTGATGATGACACAACAACTATTTGTCAATGACACAACGACCACTTGTCAGTGACACAACAAGCCTCTATTCTTCTTCTTCGCGTTCACCGGCTGTAAATTCTGGCAGAAAGTTCTGGTTGTTCATCCACTTCTGGACTGCAGTCGTGTTCCAGAACCTGAGTGTTGCATGTGCATCCGTTTTACAGATCTGACTAATTTGTATGCAGACAGCTGGTTCCTTGCCTCTCAGGCAGATGCATCACACTCACCTACCACCCTCACAACAACCAGGCTAAAAATATTTTCCTCAGGCATCTCTGTATTCTTAAAACCGACCCTGCCACCAGCACGTTTTTTTCTGAACCTGCTCTAGTGGCCTACAGGCATGACAGTAACCTCAAGGATATTCTAGTCAAGAGTCGGTTATGTCCCGGGTCTGAGTCCCACTCATACAGGCCCGAATGCAAGACCTGTCATTATGTGGTCCAGGGGACTAGTCTAGATTTCCCGAACGCCACATTCCACATACGCCAGCCGCAAGGTCATTTATGCTATCAACTGCAAGAGATGTGGCATAAAATACATTGGTGATAGGGGTTTACGGATGGCTGACAGGTTCATTCAACATCTTTTGGATGTGTAGAATGGTGCCTTGAAACAGGTACCGTTGCACTTCAATTCCCAGGATCACTAAGGCCATAAAATCTAGCTACCCCAGTGACAGAGTCCGTAAGTATCTTTAAAACCGCTTTATCTGCACTTTGTGTACTTTAACACCCTCCGGGCTGAATTGCTAACACAGTTTCATTTAAACTCCTAGGGGATTGAACTGCCCATAAAGTTTTATCTCAAACCCCTTAATCGTAGCCCCTGCTACTCCACATGGGTTATTTTTTTATATTTTTTTATGTCGGTATTCTCCTGAGAAGTCATCGACCCGGCTGGTTCGAGAAACCAGCTAAGTGATTTATGTATTTGTGTGGTATTGTTAGATTTGTGTATGTGCTGATGAAGACTCCATAGCCGCAACGTTCCCCTTCTGTTTGTATTTGTTATTATGTACAGCTTGCTAATATACTTTTGGTTCGGTTTAATATTTTTTCTTGAACAACCACATAGTACTCAGACACTGACCACTTGATGGTGACATAACAACTGTTTGTGAATGACGCAACAACTACTTGATGCTAAGATAACAACCACTTGTCGGTGACACAACTGTTTGTGAATGACGCAAAAACTACTTGATGCTAAGATAACAACCACTTGTTAGTGACACAACCACTACTCACGATATACTGGTTGCTTGACGGCGAAACTTGCTTCCTCTGGACAGTTCCATGCAGATGGTTGTGTAGGACACCACCATGACGCCTACTGGCACCAGGAATAGGAGCACCAGCATGTAGGACTCAAAGAGGACACCCTGGACAGGATTGTCCCAGTCCTTGAGACACCAGTAACCTTTGTACTTGACCCCCACCATCTTGTGTTTCTGCAGATAAATCAAATGCCTTTCTGACAGAACATTAGCTGGAAACAGTGTTAAACATTAGCTGGAAACAGTGTTAAACATTACCTGGAAACAGTGTTAAACATTAGCTGGAACCAGTATTGAACATTAGCTATAAACTGTGTTGAACATTAGCTGGAAACAGTGTTAAACATTAGCTGGAAACAGTTTTGAACATTAACTGGAAACATTGTTGAACATTAGCTGGAAACAATGCTCTTTTAAAAACAAATATTTTAAACAATTATATGTGAAACAAGATCCTTTTTATTTGCCTGTTGTTGAACTAAGTATAGGTTTAGGTTTAACCAACATAAAACCTATAGTTGCTCCGTTCTACTTCTAAGTTAAGCCTGCGTTCGAAGAATCTCAACGCCGTGCACCAACTTCGTAACACTGGCGAGAATGCTGAAATACTTGTTTGTAGATTTTTAACTCAAAATTTTGCTCGGACAGCGCCGTTAGGCTACTCGTTTCGATTTCCAACTGCCAAAGGATATCCTAACACCTGCTGCCGTTAAGAAGAAACTTCCACAAATAACTGCCTAATCTTTGAGCTGACTTCACAAGTGAATAACGAGTTTCTTCTCAAACGTTTTTCACTTGTTAGCTGTTCCGATCTTCTTGTTTCTGTTCTCTATCTAATTTACACCCCCCCCCCCCCATTGGCAACGTGATCAAGAAGAAAGAAAGAAAGAAACAGAAGAAGATTAAGATGAACAAGAACAAGAACAACAAGAACAAGAACAAGAGGAACAAGAAGAAGACAAATAAGAACAACAAAAACAAGATCAAGCTGAACAAGAAACAGAAGAAAAAGTAGAGCAAGTAGAATAAAAGAACAAGTAGAATAACAGAACAAGTAGAGCAAGAAGAAAAAGAACACGGAAAACAAGAACAACAAAAATAAAAACAAGTAGAACAAGAATAACAAGCAGAAAAATGAAAAGAAGAAAAAGTAGAAAAAAGAAGAACAAGAAAAAAGAACAAAAAGAAGAAGCAGAACAAGAAGAACAAGGATAAAAATAACAAGCAGAAAAAGAAGAACAAGCAGAATAGTAAGAAGAACAAGCAAACACAAGAGGAACAAGTAGAAAAATAAGGACAAGAACGATCAGAACAAACAAGAGGAACAAAAGAAATAAGAAGAGCAAGAAAAACAAAAGAAAACTTAACAATAGTGAGAAGAAAAGAACCAATAAATGTCATAAAAAAAATGATTTTAAACACATAATTATAATTACAGAAAATCTCCTAACGCAAAAGCTGGTCCAGCACTGCAGGGAGGTGCTCGGTCAAAGTCTGTGAAATGAGGCAAAGACACATCGGCGCGACATACACATGTTTTTCTAGCCAATGAATTCGGTAATCTATTTTTTCTTATTTGGCAACCAAGTCTGGCCTCTCGTGTGCTTTAATTTATCGGCTCTTCTCTGGCAAATGGTTTCATTTCTGTTCAGAAAACATGCCTGTAGAGAATGGGTAAGATCACATTGTCTGGTGGTATTCTTATGCTTACATACTGATTTCTGAATTGTTTTCCTCCCCATCAGACAACTACACGGGTCAAATCAACAATTGAAGGCCAATAGCTGTTGTGAGATAGTGTGCTGTTTATGAGGGGCGGCTGGCCGAACGGTTAGAACGCTGGGCTATCAAGCGGGAGACCCAGGTTCGAATCCTCGGTAGGGCTGGAGATTTTGTTGTTGAGGGGAAAGTACAATCCTCACCTGCACAGTCGTGGCTACAGTACTAGACAGTACTAGACAAGCGGCCGTGACTCCCCAGGCTCAAAGACCCCTCTGCCTACATCACAAATGTGCTACCATAAAGCCAGTAACTGCCAGTTTTTGACCGGTCACAGAAAGCAACAAAAGAAGATAGAAACTTGAAATCTACTGCAGATAACAGGAAAACTCTCCAAGTTTCGTAATATGAGTGCAAGAGTGTGCGCACATAGGTGATAAGCAACACCACTAAACTGGAGAGTTTTTCTTTCACTTAGTGAAGATTTCACATTTCTATCTTGTTTCGTTAATTTCCTGTGACCGATCAAAAGTGCATAATGACTTTACGGAAACACGGTATATCCCTTTTTCTCTTGGTCGATCTCTTTCTCGTTCGCTCTCTCCCACCCCCGCCCTAACCCCTTTTCTTTTCCCCTGCCCTCTATCTGGCTCTGTCTCTCTATCTCGCTATAAGTCGCCAGGTTATAATCCACTTAATGTCCAGACTTTATTCTTGCACCCCCCCCCCCATTATATATATATATATATCTTTGAGTTTCCGTCTATCTAGCTCTCTCTGTCACCTCACCAGCTCCGTCTATATGTGCCACAATATCTCACACTCCCCTCTCTAATATAATACTATCCCACCTGCCCGGTTGTCCCACAAACACCCTCCCACCCCATCGCTATACCCTTCTTTAGCACACTCACCTGCCCTGCAAGTATCGGCAGTGCCAGCACGCTAGACCCAGCCCATCGCTATACCCTTCTTTAGCACACTCACCTGCCCTGCAAGTATCGGCAGTGCCAGCACGCTAGACCCAGCCCATCGCTATACCCTTCTTTAGCACACTCACCTGCCCTGCAAGTATCGGCAGTGCCAGCACGCTAGATCCAGCCCATCGCTATACCCTTCTTTAGCACACTCACCTGCCCTGCAAGTATCGGCAGTGCCAGCACGCTAGACCCAGCCCATCGCTATACCCTTCTTTAGCACACTCACCTGCCCTGCAAGTATCGGCAGTGCCAGCACGCTAGACCCAGCCCATCGCTATAAACCCTTCTTTAGCACACTCACCTGCCCTGCAAGTATCGGCAGTGCCAGCACGCTAGACCCAGCCCATCGCTATACCCTTCTTTAGCACACTCACCTGCCCTGCAAGTATCGGCAGTGCCAGCACGCTAGATCCAGCCCATCGCTATACCCTTCTTTAGCACACTCACCTGCCCTGCAAGTATCGGCAGTGCCAGCACGCTAGACCCAGCCCATCGCTATACCCTTCTTTAGCACACTCACCTGCCCTGCAAGTATCGGCAGTGCCAGCACGCTAGACCCAGCCCATCGCTATACCCTTCTTTACCACACTCACCTGCCCTGCAAGTATCGGCAGTGCCAGCACGCTAGACCCAGCCCATCGCTATACCCTTCTTTAGCACACTCACCTGCCCTGCAAGTATCGGCAGTGCCAGCACGCTAGATCCAGCCCATATTACCACCACCAGGATTCTAGCCCTTCTCCGAGTGCAGATCATCTTCGACCTCAAAGGAAACAGGATTGCGATGTTTCTGTAATACCAAACCATGCCTGTAAAACAGTTCACAACAAATCTTTCCTGTAAAACAGTTCACAACAAACCTTGCCTGTAAAACAGTCTACATCAAACCATGGCTGTAAAACAGTACACAACAAACTATGCCTGTAAAACAGTCCGCATTGAACCGTGACTGCAAAACTGTTTAAAACAAACCGTGACTGTAAAACACTTTGCACCAAACCATGCCTGTAACAAAGTTAACACCAAATCATGCCTGTAACAAAGTTAACCCCAAACCATGCCTGTAACAAAGTTAACCCCAAACCATGCCTGTAACAATGTTAACACCAAATCATGCCTATAACAAAGTTAACACCAAATCATGCCTGTAACAAAGTTAACACCAAAACATGCCTGTAACAAAGTTAACACCAAACCATGCCTGTAACAAAGTTAACACCAAACCATGCCTGTAACAAAGTTAACACCAAATCATGCCTGTAACAAAGTTAACACCAAATCAAGCCTGTAACAAAGTTAACACCAAATCATGCCTGTAACAAAGTTAACACCAAACCATGCCTGTAACAAAGTTAACACCAAATAATGCCTGTAACAAAGTTAACACCAAATCATGCCTGTAACACAGTTAACCCTAAATTATGCCTGTAGTAAAGTTGACACCAAACCATGCATGTAACAAAGTTAACACCAAACCATGCCTGTAACAAAGTTAACACCAAACCATGCCTGTAACAAAGTTAACACCAAATTATGCCTGTAACAAAGTTAACACCAAATCATTCCTGTAATAAAGTTAACACCAAATTATGCCTGTAACAAAGTTAACACCAAATCATTCCTGTAATAAAGTTAACACCAAATTATGCCTGTAACAATAGGAATAAACTCACAGGGAGCAAGTACAGCGGGGATCTACAGTCATCAGTAGAAATTATCCTCTTTCGACACACGTTTCGGCCCACGATTCCTAAACGTATTCGGAGGTGGGCCCACCTGAGTTCATGAAGCTCAGGGCTGCTTCCCCGCCGCACAGAATTACCGGATGGTGTTATACTTTCGGCCAGAGACAAGACGACTTGGTGGTTTCGAAGGAGGTACTGTGAGATAAGAAGCCGCCACGGCTGCGTAATTAGAACAGTCCGCATGCCTGGACGACCGAGCGACAAGCTTACTTTGGTTTACCGGACACATCTTGGACTTTTATTAGCAGTTGGCAGAGAGACACTGGCAGACAATTCGTACACGATGGACTTTTCAAAGGGATAAGAAACTCTTTTCCACTAGATACCCGGACCAGCTCACCGAGGCCCGTCCCCTACGTTGTTGCGCTGCGTCCAAAGCCAGCTGGATGCCCTTTCGGCCACCTCACCAAGTTTTTTGAGTGCCCGTTTCCGTTCATTACCGCGCAATCCTAACTCTTTAACCACATTGTAGAGCGAAGTGGAAACGAGGCCTCTCGCTCCCACTTCGACGGCAAATACCCGCACTGTGTAAGCCTCGTTTCTCCTCAAACCGGCTGCTAAATCACTGTATTTCTCGAGCTTATACAAATGATTCTCCTCCATCCGCGACTCAAACGGGACCGTCAACTCAATCAGGATGAGTTGCCGTTTTTGCGCAGAATGGAGAACGATGTCCGGTCGCAGGCCGGTTTTACGGATCAACTCGGGATACCGTTCATGTCCTGGCAGATCAACCGCCAGTAACCAGTCCCTCGCAGAGTCTAGCACAGATGGAGCGAATGCGTTTTTGTTGACATTACCTTTTGGAACCTGCCCAGCCTTGAGGAAACGAATGGGGACGATACTAGAACTGGCTCTGGCATTAGCCCTCATTCTAGCCTGGTCGACAACGGCTGCTAACTCCTTTAGCACCTTGTTGTGGCGCCAGGTATATCGGCCTTGACCTAGAGCTTTCCTGCACGCGGACAGGACGTGCTCAAGAGTTTGCTTTGATTTGCACAACGGGCAAGTCGGATCGTTGGTCGCAGACCATTTAACCATGTTAACACCGGACGGTAATACATCGTACGCCGAACGAACGATAAAGCTCAGTCGCAGCGGGGTCATCCGCCAGATCTCACCCCATGTGAGTATTCTCGGCAATGCGCTCTCCAGGCTGACCCAATGGCCCTGCTGCGACTGTTTGGGCTGCTTTCTGAACCCGAACCTCGTTTTTCGTTGTCCCTCACCGTTTGTATCACCATGTCTCGGCGCTCTTTGGCTGAGGCCTTTGACCACCAATTGACTTTCCCGTGCCCTAGGCCTCGACGGTCGGTTTGTGTGTAACCCATCACCTCCTTCAATTTTAGTGCGTTCTGAGCAGATTCAATTGCATCGAGGACCCTCCACTTGGTACCAGTCTTTAGAGCGGGCTGGACAGCGGTGACATTTGGGTCTGAAGACTCACGCAGAAGCATGGCGAGCCTTACTTTGCCGACTTTAAACTCTTCTGTTATCGACTTGAACGGAAGTACCAGCTTAGCCTGCTTACAATACAGAGCCACGTCGGTCAGACAAGGCGGTGCTCCAATCCACTTTCTTAAGGCTGTATTGATTTTCTTTTCCATGGCTTCAACTGCAGTCATCGTCACCTCGTAGACTAGCAGTGGCCATAGAAGCTTCGGAATCAACATGAATTGGAGACACCATACCTTGAATTTTCCGATCAGCCTGCATCGCTCGATCGCGAGTAGGCCTGTAGCCAGTGACTCATGTATTCGCCGGACTTCCGCTCTGTCAGATAACTTCGAATCGTAAACGCGACCGAGACTCTTCACAGGTTCCTCCAGAACCGTAGGGATCTTGTTCCTTGCCACCGTAAAACTGGTCGCCGACACCTTGCCCTTATGGATTGACAAACTCCTCGACTTCTGCGGTTTGAACTGCATACCGCTCCATTGGACCACCGCGTCCAATCTTTTCAGGATCGTGCGGGCAGACTCCTCGCTGCCCGTTATAATAGTCGTGTCATCCATAAATGCGCGCAGTGGCGGTAACCAGTGATCCCCTATTTGAAGGCCCAGTCCGTAGCCAGCCGCCCCGTCTAACATGATCTGCATTGCCATGACAAACAGTATGGGTGAGATCGTACAACCCATAGCTATCCCAATCTGCAACTCAGTCCACCTCGTGGTAAACGTCGAGGTAGAGAAGCGCAAAGCGAACTTGGAGAAATATTGCTCGACCATTTGACTGATCTGTGTCGGTACGTGAAACATGCGAAGGGCTCGCCACAGTAGCCTATGGGGGACTGCCCCGTAGGCGTTGGCTAAGTCCAACCATATAACGTGCAAATTGGTTCTCTCATGCTTGGCTCTCTGGATAGCCTCCCAGATCATGGTCGCGTGTTCAAGGCACCCAGGAACGCCTGGAATACCACCCTTCTGAACACTCGTATCTATGTACTTGTTAGTCATCAGATACTGTGTGAGCCGGCGAGCCATGACTGAGAAGAATATCTTACCCTCAACATTCAACAGCGAGATGGGCCTGAATTGGAAAAAGACTCTTCGAGTCCTGCTCTTTGGGAATGTAGACCCCATTTGCCTTTGACCACTCTGGACATATGTGATTGCGGATCCACGCTTGTCTCAACAAGACGTGAAGCATTTTTAGGATTTTCGGGCAACGCTTGTAAAGAACGTACGGGACACCGTTCGGACCTGGGGCAGACTTGCCGCTGGCCTTTTTTCACAACATCTTCAACCTCAGACCAAAGGGGAGGTACCATTTTAAATGGTACCTTCGGCACCGAAGGCTGTTTGAGTCCGCTAAGGATCTCTGGATTGTCATCAAGAGGCTCTCTCCTCTTCTTATCAGAGTACATCTTGCTTAGATGTAGCTCAAGTTCTTTCTGACTGACAACCAGAGTCCCAGACTTCGGTTGCTCGAATAGACCTCGGGCAAACTGATACGGGTCCCTAAAGAATTTCTCTCGCTCCCTTTTGGTTCTACGTCTGTTGTTACAGAAACGCTCGGCGCGACAGAGGGCACTGTGTTTGTTCTTTAAGTGCACCCACACTTCGTACAGCCCCTCCCGTTCGCTGCCCGTAGCGGCTTTGAACCGTTTTCTGAGGGCATTCTTGTCTGCCCGACACTTCAGAATGTCCCTCTGCCTCCTGCTAGTATTTTGCTTGGCACCCGGCTGTGCCTTTACTACTGTCCCGAACTCGCGGGAGCAGTGTTCATAAATTACATCACCAAATTTAGTAAGCTTGTCGCCTAGCGACTTCTTGTTTAGAGTTTGTTTAAGTATCTCACATAATGTAGCCTCCAACTTACACCACACCACCTTCTCGCTCGCAGGTGGAAACCTGATCTTGGAACGCACTTCTTCAGAAATCATCAAAGGTGCTCCTCCGCAGTCGACGTCATGGGCCTCTCCGGGCGAGTGGGGTTCACCCAGCCCGTCGTACCCTGACGACTCAGAAACTACCACAGGAGTGGTAGTTTTGCGGCGGCGTTTACTGCGTGGAGCACCCTCGCATTTCATTCTTCCGGCATGCATGCGTTCTCAGACCATGCAACCCCGTGAAGCTTTTCCCACATGTACAGAGCCAGCCCGGACGTTGGGCGAGTATCTCAGTCCGGGGGCTAGCAAAGTCATCAACGAGGGTATCAGTTTGATTGGGCCCTTCATTCTCTCCCCCTTTCGGAGGGCCCTGGGAGCATATTTCTTTGTGGTTTGACGCAATCGGAGGTATTATACTGTGTTAGGGGTGATCAACCCGGTCCACAGTCGACATCTGTCTCCAGATGTCAGTTTATCCCCCCGGCGATACCGGGGGGCCAGTCTTTCCATAGGTGTCAAAAGGTCTTTCCCGATAGTCACCAGTCTTTCCTGGTAGTCTTGTGGGCTAGCCACGTACAATAGGAATAAACTCACAGGGAGCAAGTACAGCGGGGATCTACAGTCATCAGTAGAAATTATCCTCTTTCGACACACGTTTCGGCCCACGATTCCTAAACGTATTCGGAGGTGGGCCCACCTGAGTTCATGAAGCTCAGGGCTGCTTCCCCGCCGCACAGAATTACCGGATGGTGTTATACTTTCGGCCAGAGACAAGACGACTTGGTGGTTTCGAAGGAGGTACTGTGAGATAAGAAGCCGCCACGGCTGCGTAATTAGAACAGTCCGCATGCCTGGACGACCGAGCGACAAGCTTACTTTGGTTTACCAAAAGTTAACACCAAATCATTCCTGTAATAAAGTTAACACCAAATTATGCCTGTAACAAAGCTAACACCAAATCATTCCTGTAATAAAGTTAACACCAAATTATGCCTGTAACAAAGTTAACACCAAATCATTCCTGTAATAAAGTTAACACCAAATTATGCCTGTAACAAAGTTAACACCAAATTATGCCTGTAACAAAGTTAACACCAAATTATGCTAATATAACACTATTCATAAAGCAGCACATATAAAGCAGCAAACTTAAGCATAAAACAGTAAATATACAACATTACACAAAGAACAGTACACATACAACATCACACATAGAACATTGCACATACATTATTACACACAGAACGGTAAATATACACATTACACATAAAAGAGTACATATAAAAAAGTACACATAAAACATTACATACAAAATATCACATATAAAAAAGTAAATATGAAACAGTACGCATAAAACATTACACATAAAAAAGTGCATTTAAAACAGTAATCATAAAACAGTAAACACATAACGGTACACATAAAACAGTACATTATAAAACAGTACATTATAAAACAGTACACATAAAAAAGTACATGTAAAACTACACAGTGATCATAAATTAGTAAACATAAAACAGCAAACAGAAAAAGCAGTACACATAAAACTGTACACGTAAAACAGAACACATAAAAAAGTACATATAAAACAGTAGACATAAAAAAGTACATATAAAACAGTACACATAAAAAAGCACATATAAAACAGTACACATAAAAAAGTACATATAAAATAGTCCACATAAATCAGTACATATGAAACAGTCCACATAAATCAGTACATATAAAACAGTACACATAAAACAGTACATATAAAACAGTACACATAAAAAAGTACACATAAAACAGTACATATAAAACAGTACACATAAAAAAGTACATATAAAACAGTACACATAAAAAAGTACATCTAAAACAGTACACATAAAAAAGTACACATAAAACAGTACACATAAAAAAGTACATATAAAACAGTACACATAAATCAGTACATATAAAACAGTACACATAAATCAGTACATATAAAACAGTACACATAAAACAGTAGATATAAAACAGTACACATAAAAAAATACATATAAAACAGTACACATAAAACAATACATATAAAACAGTACACAGAAAAAAGTACATATAAAACAGTACATATAAAACAGTACACATAAAACAATACATATAAAACAGTACACAGAAAAAAGTACATATAAAACAGTACACATAAAACAGTACATATAAAACAGTACACATAAAACAGTACATATAAAACAGTACACATAAAACAGTACATATAAAACAGTACACATAAAACAGTACATATAAAACAGTACACATAAAACAGTACACATAATACAGTACGTGTAAAACTACTCAGTGATCTGTCCTAATCTCTGAGGATTACTAATTCTCTTATGTCATTGCAAAAGATGGAATGTCCGATTATTTTCCACATACCAGTCTTTTAAACTTGCTCTACAGTAATCTTGAGTATCTATGGAAGCCTCTCCAAATTATTGTTAGAACACTTTTCTTAAGTGTTATAAATAATTATGGATGCATTTGTTTCTTGATTTGAATATTCTCTTTGGTTTCAGCCGAAACCTTGTAGCAGTCGAGACAAAATTGTCGGTACTACATAAATACGGACGTCTCTCGGCCTGGCTATAGTAATAATACTGCGAGGATGGCTCTCGTCAATCAATAAAAGGGAGTAAAAGTTTACTCGTTGAAGCCTATCTCCCTGGTTGAACTTCTGAGGTAAACGGACATGACGAGCTTGTGTCGCTGGTACTCACCTTTCTATGCTCATTAAAGTCAGGGTCATAATTGAGCACACCATGGCCACGTTCTGGAAGTAGTGCACCGACTTACACAGCAGCAAGCCAAACGTCCAGGAGAATGTGAAGAAGGCAACACACTAGGGACCAAGCCAAACAAAAACAAGACAGTAGTAGCCAAACAAGAGCAAAACAGTAGAAGCCAAACAAGAACAAGACATTAGTAGCCAAACAAGAGCAAGACTGTAGTAGCCAAACAAAAACAAGACAGCAGTAGCCAAACAAGAACAAGACAGTAGTAGCCAAACAAGAGCAAAACAGTAGAAGCCAAACAAGAACAAGACAGTAGTAGCCAAACAAGAGCAAAACAGTAGAAGCCAAACAAGAACAAGACAGTAGTAGCCAAACAAGAGAAAAACAGTAGAAGCCAAACAAGAACAAGACATTAGTAGCCAAACAAGAACAAGACAGTAGTAGCCAAACAAGAAACCAAGCAGTAGCAGCCAAATAAGAATGAGACAGAAGTAGCCAAACAAGAACAAGACAGTAGTAGCCAAACAAGAAACCAAGCAGTAGCAGCCAAATAAGAATGAGACAGAAGTAGCCAAACAAGAATGAGACAGTAGAAGCCAAACAAGAACAAGACTGTATTAGCCAAACAAGAACAAGACAGTAGAAGCCAAACAAAAACAAGACAGTAGTAGCCAAACAAGAACAAGACAGTAGTAGCCAAACAAAAACAAGACTGTATTAGCCAAACAAGAACAAGAGTAGTAGCCAAACAAGAACAAGATTGTAGTAGCCAAACAAGAACAAGACAGTAGAAGCCAAACAAGAACAAGACTGTAGTAGCCAAACAAAAACAAGACAGTAGTAGCCAAACAAAAACAAGACAGTAGTAGCCAAACAAAAACAAGACAGTAGTAGCCAAACAAAAACAAGACAGTAGTAGCCAAACAAGAACAAGACAGTAGTAGCCAAACAAGAACAAGACAGTAGAAGCCAAACAAAAACAAGACAGTAGTAGCCAAACAAGAACGAGACTGTATTAGCCAAACAAGAACAAGACTGTAGTAGCCAAACAAAAACAAGACAGCAGTAGCCAAACAAGAACAAGACAGTAGTAGCCAAACAAGAACGAGACAGTATTAGCCAAACAAAAACAAGACAGTAGAAGCCAAACAAAAACAAGACAGTAGTAGCCAAACAAAAACAAGACAGTAGTAGCCAAACAAAAACAAGACAGTAGTAGCCAAACAAAAACAAGACAGTAGTAGCCAAACAAAAACAAGACAGTAGTAGCCAAACAAAAACAAGACAGTAGTAGCCAAACAAGAACAAGACAGTAGTAGCCAAACAAGAAACCAAGCAGTAGCAGCCAAATAAGAATGAGACAGAAGTAGCCAAACAAGAACGAGACAGTAGTAGCCAAACAAGAACAAGACAGTAGTAGCCAAACAAGAACAAGACAGTAGAAGCCAAACAAGAACAAGACAGTAGAAGCCAAACAAGAACAAGACAGTAGAAGCCAAACAAGAACAAGACAGTAGTAGCCAAACAAGAACAAGAGTAGTAGCCAAACAAGAACAAGATTGTAGTAGCCAAACAAGAACGAGACAGTAGTAGCCAAACAAGAACGAGACAGTAGTAGCCAAACAAGAACGAGACAGTAGTAGCCAAACAAGAACAAGAGTAGTAGCCAAACAAGAACAAGATTGTAGTAGCCAAACAAGAACGAGACAGTAGTAGCCAAACAAGAACGAGACAGTAGTAGCCAAACAAGAACAAGACAGTAGAAGCCAAACAAGAACAAGACTGTATTAGCCAAACAAGAACAAGAGTAGTAGCCAAACAAGAACAAGATTGTAGTAGCCAAACAAGAACAAGACATTAGTAGCCAAACAAGAAAGCAAGCAGTAGCAGCCAAATAAGAACGAGACAGTAATAACCAAACAAGAACGAGACAGTAGTAGAGTTGCTTTCAATGTAACTTAGAAATACTTACAATATAACATTTAGAGTAGCTTACACTATAACGTTTGGAGTACCTTTCACTACTCATGTTAGATTTCTCTGTAACATGTCAAAGGTTACCACAACATTCTAAAATTAAGACAAAGAGACGAACAACCATCTCATATTTTACCGAAACGAAAACTAGCCATCTCAAGCCGCCTTTACACGTTCAGGTTGAAACTGGCCAGCTTTAGTCAACTGTCGCTGACGGGACACGAGACAAATGTTATCACTAAAGTGCATTGTTGCAGGACACAGCCAGTTGTTGCCTCTGTCAGAGACAAGCAGTGACGTTCGCATCCCATTATTTCTATTCTAGCAACATGTAAATCAGGTTTTGGGCAACAAAAGACATGCGCCGTAATGTTCTCGCCTTCAGCAACTAACACTTTCTGTGTTCCCTCTACTTGCCACCAGCAGGATGGTCATTGAAACTTTCCAAGAGTTGTTATTTCCTCCACAGATTTTTTTGACTTGGATTCACAAAAACAAATCTTCCAGTTTGTAGTTTAAGAATATAAGTTAGTTTCGCGATCTTTTAAAAACACACATAGACCAGATTGAAGCCTTTTTGCAGTCTAAGAATATCAGTTAGTTGCTGGATGTCTCTAAAACCTAGATATGCCTGACTGTAGCCCCACTGTAGCTAAAAAAATCAGTTAGTTGGCTGGATCTTTTAAAACACACATATGTCATACTGTTGCCAAATTGTAGTCTAACAATATTAGTTAGTGTCGTGATCTTTCTAAAACAAACGTATGCCTGACTGTAGCCCGCCTGTAGTCTCAAATGCAGCATGCAGCTGGATATTTCGTAAACACAGACAAGCTTCACTGTAGCCCGACTGTAGTCTAAAATTATCAGCTAATAGCTGGATCGTTTTTTCAAACACACACATGGCTGACTGTAGCCAGAATATAACTAAGTCTATCAGTTAGTGGTACGGATATGGCTGACTGCAGCCGTATTGTAGCTAAGATTTTCATTAGGTGGCTGCACCTGTTTTAAACAGACAAATGTCTGACTGTAGTTCGACTCTAGGTAAGATTATCAGTTATTACTGAATCTGTTTTAATTAGTAACTGGATCGTTTGTAAACACAGATATGGCTGACAAAGAGAAACAGAGATCTAGGAAAGTTGACAACCTGTGTGAAACAGACAGTGTTGGACAAACATGGGTCTAGGAAAGTCGACAACCTGGGTAAAACAGAGAGTGTTGAACAAACATAGACCTAGGAAAGTTGACAACATGGGTGAAACAGACAGTGTTAGACAAACATGGGTCTATGAAAGTTGACAACCTGTGTGAAACAGACAGTGTTGGACAAACATGGGTCTAGGAAAGTCGACAACCAAGGTGAAACAGACAGTGTTGAACAAACATGGACCTAGGAAAGTCGACAACATGGATTAAACAGACAGTGTTGGACAAACATGGGTCCAGGAAAGTCGACAACCAGGGTGAAAAAGACAGTGCTAGACAAACATGGGCCTAGGAAAGTCGACAACCTGGGTGAAATAGACAGTGAAAGACAAACATGGGCCTAGGAAAGTCGACAACCTGAGTGAAACAGACAGTGTTAGACAAACATGGGCCAAGGAAAGTCGACTACCTGGGTGAAACAGATAGTGCTAGACAAACATGGGTCTAGGAAAGTCGACAAACAGGGTGAAACAGACAGTGCTAGACAAACATCGGTCTAGGAAAGTTGACAACCTGGCTGAAACAGACAGTGTTAGACAGACATGGGCCTAGGAAAGTCGACAACCTGGGTGAAACAGTCAGTGTTAGACAAACATAGGTCTAGGAAAGTCGACAACCTGGGTGAAACAGACAGTCTTAGACAAACATGGGTCTAGGAAAGTCGACAACCTGGGTGAAACAGACAGTGATGGACATACATCGGTTTAGGAAAGTCGACAACCTGGATGAAACAGACAGTCTTAGACAAATATGGGTATAGAAAAAGTGACAACCAGGGTGAAACATACAGTGATGGAATACATTGGTTTAGGAAAGTCGACAACCTGGGTGAAATAGACAGTGTTAGACAAACATGGGTTTAGGAAAGTTGACAACCAGGGTAAAACAGACAGTGTTAGACAAACATGGGCCTAGGAAAGTCGACAACCTGGGTGAAACAGACAGTCTTAGACAAACATGGGTCTAGGAAAGTCGACAACCTGGGTGAAACAGACAGTGATGGACATAGATCGGTTTAGGAAAATCGACAACCTGGGTGAAACTATATTAGACAAACATGGGTCTTGGAAAGTCAACAGTCAGGGTGAAAGAAACATTTCTGGAGATCCACTGCATTTAATTATTATTGTATAGAGGGCACTCGCGTGATTATATTCTCTCAGTTACAGCGTGACGACTCCTGACGACTGGTAATCTGGTAATCCTAGTTTCAGCTTCATAGCAAACGGGTCACCCCACAGTTGCTCTGCTCCTGTGCCAGCGAAAAACAAACGAAGCTCACAGTGTCACGCCATGCACTTAACTCAGAAGCTGGGACGAAACTACATCCTTCCAGTCTACAAATGGAGCAAAAATGCAACGGCCACCGTCTGGCAGAAAAAAAAAAGAAAAGAAAAGAAAAAAACATTTGCCACGGCTTAAAAAAAAGTGGCCGTGCCTAGCGTCTATTTTGACTGGAAAAATTATATGAGGGTTAATAAACGGTCACCCCAGCAGTACCCTCATTATTAGCTGGGGAAGGGACTTAGGACATTACATCCACCAGCAGGCGTCGCCCCTACAACGACATGCTGCCATCGTTAACGACTGTTCACCCAACAGCCATGCAGTTCTTTGGCACGAAGGAGACACCTTGAACTTGGGTTTCGGACTGCCGACTCCCTACTAAGATGTTATTTTATGTTTTGTTATCACAGTTGCTGTCACTACACATTGGGCATACCCATGCGTGCTCAGTTCTCCGAAGCAGCAGCCACTCTAAAGTACTTCTACTAATTGTCCCCATGAGAAGCTGGTTATATTGTCTCCTTTCTCGGCCACGAAGACGGCAAAGACGTGCATCACCATGCTTAACTCCCATGTCACACAATCGTGTTAATGTCAGGTATTCCTCATTCTCCACTAGCCCAGTTCGTACAGCGTTGACTATATCTGCTCTGTCCATACTTTTTCCCGCAATCATTAGTGCAGTGCTTACCAGTTGGTCTGCTCGCTCATTTCCCTTCACGTCCGCATGATCCGGTGTGTAGATCCAGGTTACGGAGATTAAGTGCGATTTCGGAATGCTTTCTATCCATTCAGAGCGCATACTGCCTGTTGCTATCTTCTGAAGCATATTCCTTGAGTCTGAGACAATTACTACCTGTGTGGCGGTTTGCTCGGATACCCATGCTAAAGCTCTAGAAGCAGCGGCTATTTCCATTGTCATGCTTGACGTGGTTGTCTGGTAAGCGCCGCTGTCCTCATGTATTGTTTTCCCCTTTCTTTGCGCTGTGTATGCCCATGCTGACCTTGATCCGCTCTTCACGGATCCATCCTAGTAGATGATGGTATCTTCTGGGTCTGAATGCTGATCTATCAGTTCCCTTACTTCTGCGTCTACGGCCGCATGAATTTGATCCCTGCAGTACCTTCCGAGTGTAATGACAACCTTAGAGATGCCATGCTTGTCTACTGGTGTATTCGTCCATTTTTTTCCGTGACTGATCACGTCTAGGTCACATACCTGCTGGATTAAATCCTCAGCCTTTGCCATCCAAGAGCGGCCTCTTTTGAGACGCGTTCCTTTTGTGTCGTGTATATCTTTGTGTAATGGGTGGTTAACATCTGCCTATACCCTTATGTAAGCCTTGACCTGTGCCACTTTGTATCTGCTAGTCATAGTCGGCAGACCCGGGACATAACGCATGGCGTTGCAGGGGGGGGGGGGGTTTCTTTTGTTCAGCCGAGTATGAGTCTCATGGCCTCATTGTGTACTCGGTCCAGTCTTTCTAGCTGGGTTTTGCTGACAGTGAGGAGGCCAAGACCATAGTCAATGACGCTAAACACAAGCCCTTGATAGAGAAGGAACAGTAGACGTTGTTCAATATCAGCTGCTGCTAGCACCTTGAGTGCTGTCAAACCGTTCCTGGCTCTAAGTATGACGTTGTCTACGTGGCATTTGTATGACAAGCATCTGTCAAATGTCATGCCTAGGTATTTCATGCCCAGGTGTCCGTTCTCTCGATGTCCACACCACAGATGCTTACGACTGGCGTTGGTGTACTAACGATGTGGGTATTCAGAGAGAACCATGTTAAGGAGGCTTTGGACGGGTTCACCTGAGCTCTTGATTCCTGGCACCACTCACTAAGTCTGTCTAGTTCGTGTTGTAGCGTGGTTGTAATTTCCTGCCTGTTTTTATCTCGACGGTAAACAAGGATATCTGCATACGACATTGTTCTGCCTAGGCCTACGCGTTGTGCACTCGTGACTCCTGCTGTGTACACATTGAAGAGCACAGGCGACAATGGTGATCCCTGGGGCAGACCCTGGGGCAGACCTGACGACTGTGACGACCCCTGACGACTGTGACGACCCCTGACGACTGTGACGACCCCTGACGACTGTGACGACTCCTGACGACTGTTATGACCCCTGACGACTGTTATGACCCCTGACTACCGTGACGACGTGGCTGGTGAAACAAACATTGACTCTTGTGACAATAATTATTATCTTCTACGGGATTCACAAACACAGAATAGACAAGGTATCATGAAATGAGGCGATCTGGGCTTTTCTGGCTGCATTTCGTTCTTCACAGTTGCACAAAGGTTCTGGCTGGTAAAGAATATTCTAAAGAGACGTATCCAGTAAAGAACAATCTAAAGAGACGTATCCAGTAAAGAACAATCTAAAGAGACGTATCCAGTAAAGAACAATCTAAAGAGAGGTATCCAGTAAAGAACAATCTAAAGAGATATATCCAGTAAAGAACAATCTAAAGAGATGCATCCAGTAACGACGAATCTAATGAGATATATCCAGTAAAGAACAGTCTAAAGAGATATATCCAGTAAAGAATAATCTAAAGAGATGTATCCAGTAACGAAGAATCTAATGAGACATATCCAGTAAAGAATAATCTAAAGAGATGTATCCAGTAACGAAGAATCTAATGAGACATATCCAGTAAAGAATAATCTAAAGAGATGTATCCAGTAACGAAGAATCTAATGAGATATAGCCAGTAAAGAACAATCTAAAGAGATGGATCCAGTATAGAATAATTTAATGAGATGCATCCAGTATAGAATAATTTAATGAGATGCATCCAGTATAGAATAATTTAATGAGATGCATCCAGTATAGAATAATTTAATGAGATGCATCCAGTATATAATAATTTAATGAGATGCATCCAGTATAGAATAATTTAATGAGATGCATCCAGTATAGAATAATTTAATGAGATGCATCCAGTATAGAATAATTTAATGAGATGCATCCAGTATAGAATAATTTAATGAGATGCATCCCGTATAGAATAATTTAATGAGATGCATCCAGTATAGAATAATTTAATGAGATGCATTCAGTATAGAATAATTTAATGAAATGCATTCAGTATAGAATAATTTAATGAGATGCATCCAGTATAGAATAATTTAATGAGATGCATCCAGTATAGAATAATTTAATGAGATGCATCCAGTAAAGAACAATCTAAAGAGATGGATCCAGCAAAGAACAATCTAAAGAGATATATCCAGCAAAGAACAATCTAAAGAGATATATCCAGTAAAGAACAATCTAAAGAGATATATCCAGCAAAGAACAATCTAAAGAGATATATCCAGTAAAGAACAATCTAAAGAGATGTATCCAGCAAAGAACAATCTAAAGGGATATATCCAGTAAAGAACAATCTAAAGAGATGCATCCAGTAAAGAAGAATCTAATGAGATATATCCAGTATAGAATAATTTAATGAGATGCATCCAGTATAGAATAATTTAATGAGATGCATCCAGTATAGAATAATTTAATGAGATGCATCCAGTATAGAATAATTTAATGAGATGGATCCGGTATAGAATAATTTAATGAGATGCATCCAGTACATGACAATCTAAAAAGTCGTATTCAGTTTAGAACAGTACAAAGAAATGAAACTAGCTTAGAGAAATGAATAGGGCAAACAAGCTATATAAGATGTACGCAATATAGAACAATGAAAAAAGTGTATCCTGTATAAAACACTCTAAAGAGATGTATGCAGTACATATAAGAGATGTACCAACACTTACCTTCACAGGAACGCAGAAACACAACAAGGCCAGGTCGGCTGACGCGAGGCTAGTCAAAAACAAATTTGTAATCGACCTCAGGCGCCTGTCCCTAGCCACAGCAGCGATCACCAACAAGTTACCAACCACGCCAATAGTCAAGGTGAAGCTATAGAACAATGAGACAGCCACGACTTCGCCAAGAGGCAGTGCAGTCTCATCACTGTCGTAGTCATAGTTGTAGTCTTCATTGAAGCCATCTTCATAACTCCCAGTTATATTCTCCACGCTAAACAAAGTTTCGCTAATGTTACATGCTAACCCTTGGCTGTAGTTGAGGCTGTTAGCCTGCAAGCATGTGATCTTTGCAATATCAGGAGCATCATGTGGAAATAAATGAGCTAAAAATAAGTTACCAGAGAGCAACGAATCAACCAGTTCTTCGTGTTGTTCTTCTTTTATATCTTCGTTTGCTTCTGTGTGGCGGTTTTCAAAACCAATACTGTCTTGGGTAGGCTCTTTCATTGAGAAATTAAAAAAACCAACTGTGGCTATTGGAGCATAACTGCTATTATGTGCCGGGTCTGACAACGATATCCAAGATGCCCGTGGCCACATGATGCTACCAGTTTCACGAAACATTGTGCTGATATTCATCGTGAATGTCTGTGATGTTGTACTGATTCCAGACTATTGATCTATTCCGCTCAATCGTGAATGTCTGTGGTTTTGTAGTGATTCAGGACTACTGTTCCCTTCAGCTCAATCGTGGATGTCCGTAATATACTGATTCAAGACTGGTGATCCATTCTGCACAATCGCTAACATCAAATCTGGTTGTCTTTGGCGATAGTTAGCGTCCGGTTGTTGAGCGATTTTCAAGTGATGAAGTTCATGGGATCTCGAGGTGACTTAGCAAAAGGTCTTGTCCTCACATAGTTCTTCAATACAGACACCTCCCCAGTCACACTGACTAAGCAGCATCTGTTTGCTCACTGTATAAGTAAATTGGAAATAACATTGTCCATATTTGGAGCTGTATCCATCGGCAGAGTTCCATCTTTCCCGCCAACAATCTGGCATAAATGGAGACATCTGTGAATAGCAAATCAAGCAACACATCAGGTAAATACAAAGTACAGTACGATTAGCGAACGAAACAACAGGAGATTTAACAAATCTATCTTTTTTCCATCAACAGAGTTGAGAGCCATGATCAGCATCTGCTTTTCAGTACGAGTACAAAGGGGATGGACGAGGTCTTTGCGAGCCCGAAATCTTCCGGGGCAGGGTGAGCAGCAGAGTATGTAGTTACTAGAGCGGAATGTATCTTGTTGTGATCATTAGTTTGTGTCTGTTTCTTTGCCAGTCCCGTCTCAGCTATGAAGAGTGTGTTGAAACTTGTTCTAGCTGACTGTCTGGCTTTGTCTTGTTTGCTCAATGTTTCTAGTCCAGTGTTTCCTAAACTTCTGCCACCATTTTTTATTTAAATTGTTTATACTGTGCCCTAACTTAAGTCAAAGTATAACTATTCGTATGTAAGAGATCAAAACAAATAAAACTCGCGTATCTTCGAATATTTCGCTTCGCTCTTGTCATGAGGTCGCTGCTCCCTGGGGCGCCGCGGCGCACAGTTTGTGAATCACTGTTCAAGTTGAAAGTCATATCAAGTAGATTGCCGGTTGTTATTTTCTAAATGTATATAGTTAATAATCTGGTTTGTTCAATGTTCCAATTTGATTGTCTGGTTTGTACAATGTTTTTAGTTAATTGTTTTGTTCAATGTTTCAAGTTGATTGTCTTCTTTTTTTTTCAAAATTCCAAATTAATTGTCTGGTTTGTTCTATGTTCCAAGACAATTGTCTGCTTTGCTAAATGTTTTATAGTTAGTTTGTTCTATGTTCCAAGACAATTGTCTGCTTTGCTAAATGTTTTATAGTTAGTTTGTTCTATGTTCCAAGACAATTGTCTGCTTTGCTAAATGTTTTATAGTTAGTTTGTTCTATGTTCCAAGACAATTGTCTGCTTTGCTAAATGTTTTATAGTTAGTTTGTTCTATGTTCCAAGACAATTGTCTGCTTTGCTAAATGTTTTATAGTTAGTTTGTTCTATGTTCCAAGACAATTGTCTGCTTTGCTAAATGTTTTATAGTTAGTTTGTTCTATGTTCCAAGACAATTGTCTGCTTTGCTAAATGTTTTATAGTTAGTTTGTTCTATGTTCCAAGACAATTGTCTGCTTTGCTAAATGTTTTATAGTTAGTTTGTTCTATGTTCCAAGACAATTGTCTGCTTTGCTAAATGTTTTATAGTTAGTTTGTTCTATGTTCCAAGACAATTGTCTGCTTTGCTAAATGTTTTATAGTTAGTTTGTTCTATGTTCCAAGACAATTGTCTGCTTTGCTAAATATTTTATAGTTGGTTGTCTATGTTCTTCACTGTTTCAAGTTGATTGTCTGGTGTATTCAGTGATTTTACTCCCCACAGTACCCTCACCGACACCAATCGATTACCCACATACATGCATTATCTATTTTCAACCAAGTACCCAGAAAGATTCAGGATCAGTTTTTCTACCAGTTTCCACAGAAATCCACGATCTGTTTTCAGTCAAGAACCCAGTAAGATTCATAATTTGTTTGCAACAAAGTACCCACATAAATGAATAGTCGCTTTTCAGTCAAGTGCCCACAGAATTCCGTGATATTTTTTCAGTCAAGTGCCCATAGAAATCCATGATCTGTTTTCATCAAAGTACACAGAAAGTTCCATAATCCATTTTTCAATCATTTACCCAGAAAGACCCATATTCTGATTTCAACCAAATAGTACATAGAGAAAGTGCTTTAGCAATGCAGAGATTCAACAGAGTGAAGAACCTATATCTATTTACCTGCAGCCAACTGAAAGTGAACATTTTCAGATCATGCATCTTTCCTTTGGAAACTTATGGGTATGAGTGATGGACTGTTACTCAGTCACTGAAGGACAAATAATAGGAGTTTGTCAACGAAACTGTTACAGAAAATGTCCTAGAATAGCATGGACTAAGAAAATAAAAAACATGGAAATCTGACCAGATCTGAACACTAGCAGAACTGGCTCGTCAACCGCAACGTCTTCCAAAAGCTGAGGTAGTGGGGCCATATTAAACATCATGATGACGTTGGAAAGCTTGGCAGAGGCTATCTTCCATGAAGATGGATACAGGACACTGAAGATGAAATAATCATGAAAGCACATAGGGCTGCATAATTGGTTTGAGCCTTGCAGACGAGCCATGACCAAAGCGACTTATGTGAAGAACCTGCTGTTTGATGATGATGATGAGGAGGAGGATAATGAGGATGATGATGATGATAATGATGATAATGATGATGACGATGATGATGATGATAATGATGATGATGATAATGATGATTATGATGATGATGATGATGAGATGAGCAAGAGAGACGCGCGAACCATATTCCTGTATCACGAAATAATATCAACCCAAAGGCAAGTCTGCATCTGTATAACACTGTCAGCAAGCCTCCGCTATGCTCCTTCAGAGACATTCACGTCCGGCCAAAGCAAGAGCTAGCTGTTTGTGGTTTTAAAATGCAGTTTTACGTTTAGTAGTTTGCCATTGCCGTAAATGGTCGGCTGTCAATACGTTGTCGAAATCAATGCAAGGAGCACTGATCGGAATCAAATCGGGTATCTCGGAATTTCAAAGGTGTCCATAACGTATAAGACACAGTGACCAACGATATCTTGTTACCATTTACCACAAATCACATGTCTGGCTTTAAAAGATCTATGAATCACACCGGACGAGCAGTTGACCAACTCTTAGGACAGTAAAATCTGGGCGTGTGTGTGTATGTGTGTGTGTATGTGTGTGTATGTGTGTGTGTGTATGTGTGTGTGTATGTGTGTGTGTGTGTTCGAGTCTGAGAACGTGAAAGTGCGGCGGTGTTAGTAGTTGTGTGTGTGCGTGAGTAAGAATGTATGTGTCAGTGGTGTAAGTGGGTGTGTGAGTTTGTCTGTGTGTGTGACTGTATACTGTAGGTGTTCGCGTATGTGTGTGTATGTGTGTATAAGAGTGTGTGTTGGGTGTGTGGGTTGGCATCTGATTACCTTCTTAATCATGTGTCTGGGCGATAGACAATCAGGTGGAGAAGTGAGTTACCGCTGCGAAATGACGTCTGCTGTAAGGATATAATTTACGTCAGGGTGTTCCAGAAGGCGATTATAAAACCATTTCTGGTTGTCAAAACACAACTGGCAATATATAAGTTTGTGGTAACCCTATAAAATAATACGTTTTGGAGATATCATAGATTGTATTAACCCCATATTATAGTACGTGTTTGAGATATCAGAAATAGTATTACCCCATATAATAGTACGTGTTGGAGATATCAGAGATTGTATTAACCCCATATAATAGTTCGTGTTGGAGATATCAGAGATAGTTTTAACCCCATATAGTAGTACGTGTTGGAAATATCAGAGATTGTGGTAAAGGCATATAATAGTACGTGTTGGAGTTATCAGAGATTGTTTTAACCCCATAAAATAGTTAGTATTGGAGATATCAGAGATTGTTTAAACCCCATATAATGGTTCGTGTTAGAAATATCAGAGATTGTATTAGCCCCATATAATACTTTGTGTTTGAGATATCAGAGATTGTAATAACACTATATAATAGTTCGTGTTGGAGATATCAGAGATTGTATTAACCCCATATAATAGTTCGTGTTAGAGATATCAGAGATTGTATTAACCCCATATAATAGTACGTGTTGGAGATATCATGAGTTTGTGGTAGCGCTATATAAAAGTACGTGCTGGAGATATCATGAGTTTGTGGTAGCGCTATATAAAAGTACGTGCTGGAGATAGTAAAAGTCTGTTTTAAGGCCATGGAGTTAGTGGTAGCCCCTTGGAGATATCAGAGTTTATGGTAATTATATTTACTAGTACGTTGGAGATATCAGAGTCTGAACATCGCTTTATTTACACTTTGGGAGCTCTGCGCCCAGTGGACTCAATTGCCAACACAGCTTCACCTAAACCCTAGGGGTCTGTACTGCTTACCCAGTTTCATATTATATTCTAGTGACGGCCACTGGCATATCCCCAGATATTCATTTTCTAGGCTCCACGGGCTTTGCCAAACTATTGTCTTGACATCGACCTGGCTGCCACGAGATACAAAGAAAAGTGATATTGTGTATTTGTGTAGTATTGTCTATTCTATGTATGTGCGGAAGAAGACTTCATAACCGCAACGTTCACTTGTTGTTTGTGTTTGTTAAATGGTAAAGCCCGCTGGTTTACTTTTTGTTCGGTTTGATATCTTTCCCATATCCTTTGTAGTACGTCCGTGGCAGAGGCAGGCCGAGGGCTGGGGCGAGAAAACGAAGGAACCAACTTTATTTTCAAAGGGTTTCAAATTAGGCGCGCAGGCCTGTCTTACAGTCGGCCCTTCCAAACTCCCATCTTTTCCCACCGCAGTTGTATTTCATTAATA